GGAACTAGCTCTTGTAGGCCAGGCTGGTCTCCAACTCACAGAGATCCACCTGCCTCTGCCTCCCCACTGCTGGGATTAAAGGTGTTCTCCACCAACGCCCAGCTGCCCACTGGTTTTCTGCAGTGGTTTCTGTATCACCCAGTAATCACCCTTGTCAGTCCTTCAGAGAGCTCCAATAAATAAGAATGGAAACCACTACACTTCTTTGCAAATGAGGTGCACATTGCTTCCTTCAGAACCAGGGACCAGGTTCTAGGCAGGAGCAAAACATGCAGTTGCAACAGGGGGGCTTAGTGGGCAAAGAAGGGACAGAATAGACCACAAAGCTCTTCTTGTACTCTCAAGATGCCTTTTCCAGCATTTGTCTGGCTGCAGTAAACTGTTGCCTATTCTTCAGGGTTCTGGCAAAGCTGGTTTTAGCAGATGTTGCTTGGTTTTTCAGTGTTTCTGTGGGGGATGGCTCCAAGGTGCTGCCTCCTCCAGCACTTCCACCAACATGTTAGATGTCATTAATTTTGGTCACCTGATTTCTATCTAAGCAACAATGCATCTCTAGCTTCCCCCTTTCCTGTTGTGTTGTTTTATATACTTGTTTATCTCATCCTTAAACTTGATTTTATAAAGAGCTGTGGGGCCAATGAGATAAGCTCCCATGCTCATAGATTGGTAGGATTAATATTGTAAAAATGGCCATCATATCAGAAGCAATCTACAGATTCAATGCAATCCATATCAAAATTCCAACTTATTTTTCTCACGGAAATTGGAAAAAATAATCTTAAATTTCATGTGGAAATACAAAAGACTCAGGGTATCTAAAAGAATCCTGAATTAAAAACCAAAACAAAACTGCTGGAGCTATCAGCACCCTTGATTTCAAGTTATGCTATAGAACTATAGAAAACAACAACAGCAACAGCAAAAACAGCATGGTACTGGCATAAAAAACAGATACATTGACCAATGGGATAAAATTGAAGACCCACTTATAAGCCCATATTCCTACAGCCTCCTGGTATTTCATGAAGAGGCCCACGATACAAACTGGAGAAAACACAGCTACTTCAACAAATGGTGCTAGTCAAACTGGATAGCTACAAGTAGAAGAATGAAACTTGATCCTTATCTCTCACCTTGCACAGGACTCAATTCCAAATGAATCAAGGATCTTAACAAAAAGCTGATACCTTGAACCTGGTAGAGGAGAAGCTAAGTAATACCCTTGAACTTACAGGCCTGGGAAAGGGCTTTCTGAACAGGACCCTGGTAATAAGGGCATTAAGATCAACAATTTTCAAGTAAAACATTTTCTATAGGCCGAGTGTTGGTGGCACACGCCTTTAATCCCAGCACTTGGGAGGCAGAGGCAGGCAGATGGCTGTGAGTTCGAGGCCAGCCTGGTCTCCAGAGCGAATGCCAGGATAGACTCCAAAGCTACAGAAACCCTGTCTCGAAAAACCAAACCAAAACAAAACAAACCAAAACAAACAAACAAACAAAAACCATTTTCTATGAATAGAAATAGAAATTACATAGTTCCCAATGGCAACAATTTATATCAGTCATGAAAATTCATAGCCATAAATCCCTCAATTAGCAACTAAGAAAGAATGAAAGTTTTAAAATATTTTCAGTACAAAACACAATGAAAAAAAAAAAACAAAAAAAAAAAAAAACAAGAAAGCAAACCAAAATAATGTGAAAGAAAGGAAATTTCAAAGACAGGACATTAATGAATATTGTGCCCAAATTCTGAACCCCCAAATCACCAAGAGCCCCATTCCGATGCAAAAGCAAAGAGCCTTTTATTGTTTAATAACAAGTTAACTCAGGTCTTCTGTTTTGGTCAACTGGTTGCTATGGCCTATAGGCCCTCCCAGGGTGGTTGCTATGCTCTGAACATCTCTGTTATACCACCTTTACCATAAAGCAAGGCCAGAGCCGGCCAGCTAATTTCTGATTGGTTACTTGCCACATGGAGGGTATCTGACCTAGTGACTAGGAGGCTGTGTAAGGTCAGGAAGCTTAGTACATTTTGCTGAATCAGAGACCTGCATCTTGCTGGGTCTTTTCTGCAGCCTGTCATGGCTGCTAAAGCAGGGGCTGGGTGAGGGTCTGGTCCATTCATGAACTAAGGAGTAAAAACAGTAGATCAAATTGGCAAGTAGGATCTTTGTTCTTTGTTTGTTTGTTTGTTTGTTTTGTTTTTTTTCGAGATAGAGTTTCTCCTTGTAGCTTTGGAGCCTATCCTGACACTCGCTCTGGAGACCAGGCTGGCCTCGAACTCACAGAGATCCGCCTGTCTCTGCCTCCCGAGTGCTGGGATTAAAGGATCTTTGTTCTTACAGCAAATAAATTAGACAATTGATTTAGCTAATTTCCTCAAAAAAAAAAGGGAGAAAGCACAAATACATAAAATAAGAAACTACAAAGGAAAGTAACTCTTGATATGGAGGAAATAAAAAAAAAAAACCTTGGAAATTATCCTGTGTAATGTTATGTAGGTCCATTTGAAAACTTAGATTAGATGAATACTGCCAGGGGCAGTGGTGGCGCTCGCCTTTAACCCCAACACTCGGGAGGCAAAGGCAGGCAGATCTCTGTGAGTTTCAAGACCAGCTTGGTCTACAAGAGCTAGTTTCAGGACAGGTTCCAAAGCCACAGAGAAACCCTGTCTCGAAAAATAAAACAAAAACAGAATAAAAAACAAAACAAAACAAAAGATTAGATGAATACTACCGTGAGAAAATTCAACTATACAATTATTGTATAGTTGTTGAGTCAGGGGAAGCAACTTGCTAGAAGAGACCTAGCCTAGCATTTCCAAAGCCTTGGGTTTGTTCCATTCTCAGCATCGAAGAAAAATCAAAATTGACCTCAGGCTAAATGTAGTAGCATATTCCTATAATCTCAGAATTTGGGAGGTGGAGGCAAGAAGTCTGAATTCTAGAACAGTCTAAGGAATATATCAAGACTATTAAAAAAAAAGAAAAACTGACCTTGTTACAGATGAAAGTTAATGAGATTGGCTCATTAGGAGAGCACTTGCCTAGCATGCATGAGGTCCTGGATTCAACTTCCATTTCTTTTTAAAAAATGTTAAGCAGATAAGTATCTACTGAAGAAAAAGAGAAAATAAGGAGCTATCTCATTAAAAACATCAGGGGATTCTACCAAATTTTTAGAGACCAGACAATATCCTATGCTGAGCAAGTTGTATCAGAGTCTAGAAAGTGAAAGTGAAGAAAACCTTCCAAGTATCTTTTATTAATCAAGTACAAGTTACATTTAAATATCCAAAGAGATTACAATAAAGGAAATTTCAGATTTATACCTCTTGTGAATAGCAATTGATGTGATAATCCTACAAAAAATACCGGTAAACAGATTCTAGCAAGTAAGTATACTGAAAGGCTTATATTCCATGATCATTTAGGGTTTAATACTAGAAAAGTAAGGATGGTTCAATGTTAGGAAGCCAATTTACCACATTAACAGGTTTCGGTAGGAAATTAAATGATTAATTTCATAGTTGTTGGAAAATATCCACAACAAAATCAAGACCTTGTTCTAATAAAATTCTACCTTATTTTTATGCTATGTTACTTTATTTTATACAGGGTGTCATATGGCCCAGGTTGCCCTCAAACTTGCCATATAGCTGAGAGTAACCTTGAACTTTTTATTCTCTTGCTCCACCTCCAGAGTACTGGGATAATAGGTGTGTTCCACCATACCCAGCTTATGAGATGTCAGAGATCAAACCCAGGGGTTTGTGTATTCTAGGCAAGCACTTTGCTGAGTGAGCTGCATCCACAATTCCCCTAATAAAAACTCTTG